TCACAACACCTAGCGACAACCACTATCTGAGCATCGGCCTCGCGATCGCGTAGAACCATGATACCATCGGGGTTAGGCGTTGATGGTATCGTCCTGCGGCAGTCAGTCAACAGCTAAAACATACGGTTATTTGATGGTGTTTTTGCAGTAGGAATTACTTCATGTTTCTTTTATAAAGCCTCAATCACTTCCGCTTGCTTTTCCACATATAACACCCCATGACATATGATTTAGACTGGTCTAAGCACAAGCTATTCGTTGATTATACGGTGGGTAGTTATATAACGCAAAAATGGTTTGATGTCTTTTTAAGCCTTAACATCAAAGGGTTGCCACAATCACGTGACACATAGCGTGGCTACCCTAATTTTGCAGGATGAATAAAAGCTGGATTTTTTTTAAAACGGAAAGAAACGTTCGTAATTGGTCGCTCATCTTCGCCCGACAGTGTGTAACACGGCGTGTGTTTGACTGTGGTGGACGTACTGCTTGACCAGTTGACCATTTCACCAATTTACCAGTGAATGCTGCAGGATTGTGCACATCGAATAGGGTGAGAGTTCCAGGGCTTAAACGTATGGACAGAGTTTGTTTGACATATGAATGTTCGTTTGTTGCTTTACGTCGCACTCAGCAAAATTCGAGCTATAGGTCGGCGGTCTGTAAATAATCGAGTCTGGTCCAGACAATTCAGTGATTGAAATCATGAGCATGATCCACGCAACTGGGATACAATGACATGCATCAACCAAGTCAGCAAGCCTGACCACCCAATCCCGTTAGTCGTCTTTCCCGACAAGCATGGGTTGATGAAGACCTATTCTACCCCGGAACTACACGTGTCCATGGACAGAGGGATGAACAGAGGGATACACTGAACGCATTGAACATCGCAATAATAATAATCTTTAAGGTCGGCATATTACTGACACACGCACATCCTGTGACTGACAAACTAGTAAGTACAACACGTGACTGACACAAGAGCATCATGGGATCGACACACGTACAGACTAGATTTTCACGTTGTGTGAGTTCCTTGAAGTATGATACTTCATAGAGTAAGGGTCAAACTGTATGAACGTATATCAAGCAATTTACCACGAATTATATAGTTCTAAAAACAGTTTTATTTAGTCTACGTGTGACTTCCGGTTAACACTGACAGCCATACAACAGCCATCTGTATCGTGGAATAAAGTAGTTCCTCAAAAGCAGAGGTGACATGGGCGTATTTTTGTTAACATTGTTCTACCGAGACATCTTTTGTAGTTTGTTTGCAACAAATACATTCAAACAATATCATCATTAGATGAGAAAGGTCTGTTGTAAATTCATAGATTGCTGTAGACAGTATCTGTCAGCCTGGACACGGATCGAGTCGATGCTACGGTAGTTTGGATGTGTATTTCTTCGGTTCGTTCACTTGGATGGGTCGCAGCGAGGAAATATGTTAACGATCATGCATTGAAACACTCTGACTTTTCTCAATGTATACTAAAACGTTGAGTTCAAGATTAAATGGTCCAAATGATCAGAAACAACGCTTCTGTATGTATTCGTGCAAGGGAATTCCAAGGGATTTCCCCAGAAAAGTGGAAATAGTCCGTCAGTGTTTACGTCATTTCAAGAACACAGTGTCTTGAAAAACGTATGAACGTCCAACTGTGGCGTTCATATCCTTATGAACGTCATTTTCGCGACCATGTGACCGGCCGCTCGTCCAGTGCAAAATCGTATATCGTGTAAACTTCACATTGAAAAAACACAATATCCGTCATTCATTTATACTAACATAACATTTTCTATTGACATAGGGGCGGTCGGGTAGCCTAGTGGTTAAAGCGTTCGCTCGTCACATCGAAGACCCGGTTCGATTCCCGACGGGTACAATGTGTGAAGCCCATTTCTGGTATCCCCCGCCGTGATATTGCTAAAAGTGGCGTAAAACCACACTCACTCACTCACTCTATTGACCTAACTAAATCTGCAAGGCAACCAGCATGAGTAACGACCAGCAATAACCACTCGTACAACTCCTGTTTACGACCTCTACCATCCAGACAACCTAACATGTACCGGCGATAACGACTTGTACCACCGAGGCAGCTAGTCCTGCTTCAGATATATGCCTGCAAATACGACGTCTGCCATCAAGACAACCGGTCATGTGTGCGACACTTGAAGCGACATGTACCGGTAAGGCCAACCGGTCTTTCTCATGTACCAGTAATTACGACATGTACAATCAAGGAAACTAGTGCTGCTCTTTGTACCAGTAATTACGACATGTACCATCAAGGATCTGGTCCTGCTCTTTGTACCAGTAATTACGACATGTACCATCAAGGATCTGGTCCTGCTCTTTGTACCAGTAATTACGACATGTACCATCAAGGAGACTGGTCCTGCTCTTTGTACCAGTAATTACGACATGTACCATCAAGGAAACTGGTCCTGCTCTTTGTACCAGTAATTACGACATGTACCATCAATGCAACTGGTCATGCTCATTGTACCAGTAATTACGACATGTACCATCAATGCAATTGGTCATGCTCATTGTACCAGTTATTACGACATGTACCATCAAGGAAACTGGTGCTGCTCATTGTACCAGTTATTACGACATGTACCAACAAGGCAACTGGTCCTGCTCATTGTACCAGTAATTACGACATGTGCAATCAAGGAAACTGGTGCTGCTCATTGTACCAGTAATTACGACATGTACCATCAATGCAACTGGTCCTGCTCATTGTACCAGTAATTACGACATGTACCATCAATGCAACTGGTCCTGCTCATTGTACCAGTATTTACGACATGTACCATCAAGGAACCTAGGCCTGCCCACTGTACCGGTAATTACGGCATGTACCATCAAGGCAACTGGTCTTGATAACGACATTACCATCTTGGCCACTCGTCCTGTTCACGACATGTACCAGAAATTACAACAAGTACGATCAAGGAAATGCTCTTGATTACGACACCACCATCCAGGCAACTAATCCTGATTACGACATGCACCAGTCTGTTAGGCGCAATAAGTACCTCTCAATGGCGGCATTAAGAACCAGGTCATCAGAAAAAGATGAAAACATACGCAATCAGTGCGAGGGACTGGCTCCCAATCCCTATAGTAAGAGATCAATAGCAACTCCACTCTGCAAGACGTTGTACTGATGCGCTATCTAACGACCACCATAATATGTGTACTTGACTCGTGTTTTTTTGTCCCTTTGATAGGTTGCTGGAATACATCGGAACTTGCCGACAAAGCTCTGGCGAGGTTTTTGCATTACTAACGACAATTGCTACTGGTTAATAGCCAATAAATACTGGCACTAATCATGACACATACATCTTTATATCGGTAACGTCTCATACATATCCAGGGAACTTTTTCTTCTGACGATACCAGACCAGAATCAATTTACAGACGCCATAAAACACGTTTACTCCTTCACAAACGCTTTACAGCTCTTCATAAAATGCCATTGGAATGGAATATCTATATGCTTAAAGCCGTATAGAATTGATAAGAACACCCCTGCAAGAGTGATGGTGTTAACGCTATGTTTCCATACGGCCCACTTGAAGTTTTTCGTCAGTGTAACTAGTTGATAGGAAAACGCTACGATTCCACTATCCATTACTTCCGTTCTGAGAACAATAGCGGTCGGAGTATAGCGGCGCTGCACATGTAATACTGTCATTAAATGAGAATCACGTCGTTCAGGAACATTGCACATTGTACACCTCTATAGTTACAATGTTATATTTCAGACGCAAACATATTGATTAAGCATTATTTCCATGTTGGTTTTCTTCTCTGATAAAGGGGATATTTTTGGAAGACTCGTAAATATGGGTAAGGTGCGGCTTCGGGAAATAATTTACACTGCAATTGTGGTAACAAAAATGTGAAACTTGCTTTGAACTATTCGCGTAGGTCTGTGCTTGTAAATGTAGCACATGGAATTATGTCCTTAAGCTATTTACAGTTATTTCTTCACACCCCCTTCACAGGGCGATTCGTTTGTACACAAGCCAATATGGCGCCCTGGTGTCGGGACATAGCTGAAGGACATGAAGGTGGTATACAGGGATGGATTTCCTCGTATATATCAGGAAACTCAAACCCGGTGGCTGCTTGTGTGGAAAGTCTCAAGTACCTACTTTGCCATGGTAACAGCTATCCCGGGGTGCAGGCTAGCAACACCTACAGGTGGCCATGTTTCATTGTTGTAAACATAAACTCTGCATTCTTACCTCTCTAATTCGGACCCTGTACATACTGATCTCTCTACACACTGACCCCTCCATATTGTTACCCCTAAAATTACGGACCCCCTAAAATTTGACCCTTCTACATAATGTCCCTCTAGATACTGAACCCTCTTCGTTCTGACATTGGCAATAATAGTAAGCCCTCTACATTTGACCTCTTTCGATACTGACCCCTCTACATGTTGACCCCTTACGACTTGACCCTTTCTTCATTTTGACGCTTTTCGACTTGACCCCTCTACATTTGGACCCATTTCGATTCTGTATATGAAACTACATATTAAACCCCCTTGATGAACGTATCAACTCTCGTTAAGGAGAATGCAAATGATTCAAGTATTCCTTTGAGGCAAACCAGTATCAGGTTAGTTGTCCGTATCTAAATGAAGCAAGTCTAGATTTTCTTAACCTCCCATCTTACTGAGGCTCACTTCGGATTGTCTAGTCCAGATTCGATTATTTACAGACCGCCGTCATATGGCTGGACTGTTGTTAAGTGCGACGTTAAGCAACAAACAAACACACACACACACACACACACACACACACACACACACACACACACACACACACACACACACACACACACACACACACACACACACACACACACAAACAAACAAACAAACAAACAAACAAACAAACACTTAATGAATACGTATCGTCATCGTTGTCTGGGTATTTTGCACAATGTTGCGACTCACCAATTGTTGTGATGACCGTCACCGAGTAAAGAAGAGCCCCCGCAAACGACCACTGTAGTTCCCCTTCCCCATCCTTGCCGTCCCATCCCTTCTCCTTGGTCGCTGTGTACACCTGTTTCTGGAAAGCCTTCAACACATCATCGGCCAGTTGAGTCCAGTTACCCTCATACAACACATTGAGATCTACAGTCAGGTTCCACAGCGCAAGCACCTGCTGCTTGCGGTTAGCCGCCATGTTGTTTCTCTCCACTACTTCCGACGGAGCCTCCAACTTCATGAAGATGAATCCACCCAACACTGAATAAGCCACTACTAACGAACACAAGCCTATATGTGAAAATACGAAAGTCGTGAAACGTTTACAACACACTACACACGACTTCTTGTCAGACGGTTGCCTTGTCTTTCTGGATTTCTTTGATGGACAGCACGAACAACACCCTGTGCTTTTTTCGGTTCCAGAATCCGGTTCCGTTTCCGGTTCCGATTCCGTACCCGCAACTTTGTCTCCAGTTTTGCAACAGCAACAGCAGCTGCAGCAGCCATTACAACACTTTTTCTTCTTTTTCTTCTTGTCCCTTTTACGGGGTTTTCGTATGGGTCTATTGACGGTCCCGGCATTGGAAGCCACCAATTGTTGTCGCAGAGCGCCGGGTTGCTCTACGACCGGTGTTTCGTTTTCGCTGTGATTCTCAATTTTGAAAAATCTCCGAAATACACACTCTCACCAAAAATAGAACATACACGCACCGTGTGAGATTTTCACATGAATCCCATTAATATGTATCCCATCCAAGGTAAAACAAGGCTTTGTTATTCCCGACATTGCATATCTGCAGGATCATCCCAGCTACACAGGGGTCAATAAAGCCCCTAACATCCTCGGGTAGGGAATACTTATCCAGCTCACAATAAACCACACGAGTGAATGGCACGCAACGCAATATCAATTATTTAGTTCCTTTGGCACTGTGTAAACTTTTCGGAACCAGCAACCCACGAGCTTTCATAAGTTAACGCCAATTTGCTAATGTTTTAAAGTTATAAATTCCCCTTCCGTATCTGGGATGCTCACTTTGACTTCGATTTTGGAACATTCACTTTGACGTCACTGGCTGGACGATCTCCCTGATGTCATCACTTGGGATGGTGTTGAATACGTTTGCGTGCGCTGTCGTAAACGATGACGCTGTTCCATGAGACGTTGCACATGTAAGCTTCACATCACTGAAACATACAGACACATTGTTACAAACGAATTCATGTAGGTGAATAATACATACTAGACATCGAGCAAAACTTATGCCTTTGTTTAACGCCACACCAAGCACAATTCCAGCTATAAACGGCAACCTGTAAATAATCGAGTCTGGACCAGGCAATCCAGTGACTGATATGTCGAAAAAAATCATTCAAGTCACCGAGCCTGATCCCCGATCAATTTGGTCGCCTTTTACGATCAGCATAGGTTTCTGAGGACCTGTTCTAACCCAGAATCTCTACGGGCGGCTGATGGATGTACATATATGACACGGTTAAATATCTAATCCTGTCTTACAATCATAGACTTTCTCCCTAACTACCATGGTTCCCTGATCGCCCCAGCGCCTGCAAAACGATGCGCTAATGTTCTCTACCAAGACGTGGCCTGATGAAGCACTGGAGGATGCTCCCTGATAGTATCGCAGTACATTGTCCGTTAACATCCCCATCCTCATCCCTATCGCTTTAATTACACAACCCGGACACCGCTTGGTACAACCAAACATCATAAAACTGCAATCTCTCAACAAACTGGCCCTGCGCTTATCGTGCGATCGAACACTGTAACCGTGAGGTACCAAGTAAACCCACCCTCGATAATATCCGGGTCTCGCTTGAACCTGAGCGAGTCTACAAGACTATCATAAGTTTGCCTTCTACAGCAAATATCATTATTGTCTCTAGAGATTCTGCATCAAGTGCTTGAACCTCCTCTCGTAAATGCCGTGAGTACTTTTCAATTGAAGTTAATACACAGCATCACTGAAGCAGCACGCGGTTCCACTGTCCACTGAAAGGATCTCTCTCCGACCGCTGATGGTCACTGTCGAGGGGCAATCAATACAACTCGGCTGTAACTGATTCTCATCAAAGAAATACATTCCTTTGAGCGGAACTACTTATTCATACAGTAGCTAAGCCGGTGTCAAAGATTACTGCTTGCCTGGACACTTACACGTGTATGTAAAACGCTTAACGACCCCGCTGATGTTGGTAGTAGATGCTTTAGTGTGGTTTCATGTGTGGTTAAACGTCTTGGAACAAACGTCTTCCCACCAATAGTACAGATGTGACATATACTGCAGCACTTGATTGACTCACTGACTCGCTGACAGATGTACTGTAGGACTTAATTGAGATGCTACGATATGAGTGAGTGAGTGAGTTGGGTTTAACGCCGCTTTTAACAGTATTACAGTTATATCGCGGCGTGTCAGCTTAATGTGAGAGGAAAGCCCGAAGTGATGCAGGTCTCAGACGTTTACCACTTCGGTGAAACCCACGAGCACGGGTATGGTGCTGACAAACCTAGAAACATAATCGAGGCGAACTGGGATTCGAACCCACAATCATAGGTTTCTGGCGTGCCCAAGGGACGCAACTCTGCATAGCGAATCGCGGCGCCTTAGACAACTGGGCCAACCGTGCCCCCCTGCTACGAACGATATGAGGTCATATATACTGTAGGACTTAATTGAGATGCTACGATATGCGGACAGATGTACTGTAGGATTTAATTATTATCATTATCATTATCATTATTATTATTATTATTATTATTATTATTATTATTATTATTATTATTATTGACCAAACCGCTTAAAAGTTACAAACTTCACATTCAGAGCAATTTCAAAATAACATCTTTGAAGTTGCTGGAACATGATGACACAAAACTTTTGTGAATAACAACTTCTTTATTCTTTCTAACGACGTCTCCGTGCTGCTTCTTGCCCCTTTGTTGCCCTGAAATGACGTTGGAAACAATAAAGAAGACGTTAAACATAAAAGCTCCATGCCATCAATTTGAAATAATCCATTTCACGAGGTCTTTGATGTTGAATGTTTGTGTATACTGTAAACACAATCAAAGTATTCCCTCGTTCATCACAAAGACGTGGTCGTCAGCCTCAGAAGAAAGTATACGGATCAGGATCAAAACAGTATTATACTTCGCGTCATTTCGGCTTTCACAACCGAATAAATGTTGTTATATGGCAGTGTATTCTTTTGTTGAACAATGATTTGTAACTGAATAACATTGTTTCTGTTGAGATTCGGAAGACGCTCATTGCTTTGTTTTTGGACAGTGATCAGTCATCAGGGAGTTATTATATTTAGGTGCCTGTGTGGTGTGTCCGGTACACCGCGGATGGCGATAGTATGATATGGAAACTTCTTGAATGTTCTTGTACTGTTAGACTGGTGTGGGCACTGCATAGAAATTTCCGGTAGCTTGTTAGACTTTATACATAGTGGGACAAGAGCGTGTTAACGTATCTCTCGCGCATTTTCATCACATTGGAACAGTGTGTGTGCGTGTGTGTGTGTGTGTGTGTGTGTGTGTGTGTGTGTGTGTGTGTGTGTGTGTGTGTGTGTGTGTGTGTGTGTGTGTGTGTGTGTGTATTTGAGTGCGTTCGTGCGTCTGTGCGTCCGTGCATGCTTGCGTCTGTCCGATATGCAGCCATGAAGAACGTTGTGGGGTTCATCAGAAACGGCATGCTCCGTCGCCTCTCCATGCAGATCCCACAGCGACACCACACAAACACATACAAACACTCTGAACGGAGCCTGACATCGAGGAACGCCGACGGATATAGTATTACATGACGCATAGATGTTTTCGTTAACGCTTAAAGAAATGTTGTAATTTAAACTCAGCCTTTGAAACAGGTTCCTGATCTCTGAGGTTTTTGCCATTGATGTTTCCTTCAACAATTCCCATTTCAATTAAAATATAGGTTTACTGTGTATTTGATTACGGACTCTCTTCCATATTCGATGTGTAAATAATGACACCTTCAACGGCCAACACTAGCAATGACACACAGCCCTGTTCCGACACAGCGCATTTATATTTTTACACGACTTTCTACACCCAGTGGTCGACATCCCGCTGCGTTTTACATTTCAATTTCAATTTTCTTTCACCATGTTGTATATGTGCCCTGTCTATCTCGCTACAGCGCCATGACAACGCAGAGGGGCTGTGAACGACCGCTGTACTCGACAACAGCAACGACGCTCTTCTTGTGATATAGGTGTAGTTTCAGCAAGTTTGAAGTGAGTTATTGCTATGGTGAACTGGGAGGCAGGTGGACGGTGACGCGTGATGGCGTCCTGCCGTGTTTCTCGGATAGTTCCATTAGACAGGAAGGACTTTCGCCGCCATTGTTCATACTGACGCTGTTCTCGACAGCTCACGTGTGAATGCCGTTGTGATGCATTTATACTGCAACCTGTTGGCAGTCTTCGGTGACTTAGCACACGAACGCAGACAGAGCAAACAGAGACCTCTCACCACCGGTCTTAAACTCAGTAATATCCTCGAAAACTCATGCCGCTGCCTGAGCCAATATTCGCCTATGTGTTGGTAGTGAGCCAATAAAATTTTAACCCTGTTTGGGTTTATCACAACTGGGCGGAGTGAGTGAGTGAGTGAGTGAGTGAGTGCGAGTGGGTGAGTGAGTGAGTGAGTGAGTGAGTGAGTGCGTGCGTGCGTGCGTGCGTGCGTGCGTGTTCAGAAAGAAATGTTGCTGCAGTGAGTGAGTGAGGGAGAGAGGGACGGAGCGAGACCTGCGACAATAGAAATGGGCTTCATGGGGAGTCGAACCCGAATCTTCAAACGCTTTAACCACGTGGCTCCCCCACCGGCCTTTACTCATACTCGTACTTTAGCATAGGTGTACCATAACGTGACAATGTGAGTTTAAAAAAATCATTCTTCGCCAATAACCCCTGGCTGACTGTAACCCTTTGTCCAGGAATCAGGGTTGGAAGCTAGGTCATAAAACATCCCCATTAAAACCCACATAGAAGACAAGTCATTATACTAACTTGTCTCCGACACTACTGAATAGTTGTGAATTATTTGGAAGTGTGCATGTGTCCGAGAGTGCTCAATCCCAAGGGACAATACCATTGTCAATATCATTATTATCATTATTATTATCTAGTTTGAACATCCACTTTGTCCAAGTCCTTAGAAGTGCTACAGAAACTAAAGAGCCGAGTTGTTATCGAGCAACAGACTAATCGATCAGTCAATGGCGTCAAACTGAGACAAATATAAATCAATATTTATCGATTTTAAATAATAATCTAGATATACTTCTTGTAAAATGATAAGATGCTATACGGTGATAGTAAGCTTTCGGTAGTATGTGTGGGGATGGAAACTTAACAATCGGACATGAGTTTGACAATTCACGGTAAATACAAAATAAAAAAACAAAAAATCTAAATACGGCAAATCATTAAAATAATGCGTCGCTAATTTGAACAGAATTACGACCGAAGGCTGAAATGAGACATGAAATCCATGCGAATACTTTTGATATTTAAAAGGTAATCAGCAAAACACAGCAAGACTGTAGACTTCCATGATGCAGGTTTGGATGAAAGCAGCTGGACTGTAAAATATCGTTTGCTTTCTTGACACTTAAAATGTAATCTAACTTCCGTGAAATCAATAGCAGGAAATTCCAAATATTCATGAGAAGGTCAACGCATACGGGCCACGAATCAACCAACAGGCTCTGTATCTTGATAGTTGTAAAAGATAGTCGATTACTGATGTCAGAGCCTTACATGCGAGTTGATAGAATTGCCCTACATTCACATCATACCCGTGAAGATCCGGGGTAGAATAGGTCTTCAGCAACCCATGCTTGCCGTAAAAGGCGACTATGCTTGTCGTAAGAGGCGAATAACGGGATCGGGTGGTCAGGATCGCTAATGTGGTTGATGCATGTCATCGATCCCAATTGCGTGGATCGATGCTCATGATATTAATCACTGTATTGTCTGGTCCAGACTTGATTATTTACAGACCGCCGTCACATAGCTGGAATATTGGTGAGTGCGGCGTTAAACAACAAACCAACCAACTAACATCCACATCAGTCCAAGCTGTGCGACAACTGGTAGGTTACAAGCGTGAGGCTGCACATGGTCAACGCATGTCTTGGTTTCTAACTGCCCCACGTCACACAGTCTATGAAATATGGTAAGCCTCCCGGGTATACGTTATCAAAATGTTACCAGGCTGAAAACAGTCACTACTTAACGTCCTGTTATATCCGTATTAAATACATCAACATAGAAAAAACAGTTCTTGTTTGTTTCTTTCTTTTTTATCCACCATCACATATGTGTGTATACTTTGTTGTTTCTGGTAGTTTAGTTGTCAAAACAGCTTAACACCTTTATTTGTTAACGCCATTCGCAGCGGGTTCGGACCAACACATGTGTGGTTTGCATGCTCCAAACCCAATCTCGACACTAGATCGCCGAACACATTGTAAAATCAATTAGCACAAAATCACATTATATCATCGTTACGTGGACAGTGTGAATTTTAGTTGATAATTCCATACCAATAATGGAAATAATAAAAGATCAAACTTTAGGGGGGGCGAATTTGTTTGTGCGAGAAATCGTTACCCGAGGCAAA